AATACTTGATGTTTTTGCTTATTGAAGTATGGTCATTCTAGACTTGAATTTTAGTTTGTATAAATTTTTACATTTCTGAAATCAGGACCCATGGACACTGTATTATATGTCACAGTGTGGTTTATAATTCATGGCATTTTATAATTGAAGAAATTTGGCATTTTAGTTGTACATATAAAAATATAAGTGTTACAGATCCTAATCCTAGCTTTTTTCCTTCTAAAAATACAGAATCTCAGCTCACTTTCTCTGTTTATCTTGCCACTCCCTACCTCCTACAAATGTAGAGGGAGAGTGCCAAAAAAATGGAAATTCGGGTGGATTGACTTAGATGAGTGCTTCTGAAATCATCTGAATCATCTGAAAGCTTAATATCTGTTTCAGGGCTGGGTGCAGTGGCTCATGCCTGTAATTCCAGCACTTTGGGAGGCTCAAGAGGGCAGATCGCTTGAGCCCAGGAGTTCAAGACTAGCCTGGGCAACATGATAAAACCTCATCTTTACCAAAAATTTAAAAATTGGTCCAGAGTGGTGGCATGTGCCAGTAATCCCAGCTACTTGGGGGTCTGGAGTGGGAGGATTGCTTGAGCCTGGGAGGTTGAGCCTGTAGTGAGCTGAGATTGTGCCACTGCACTTTCTCATAAGTGACCCAACAAGACCCTATCTCAAAAAAACAAAAACAACAACAACAACAAAATTCTTTTCAGCTGATAAACTTTTGCAGAATTCAATTAAAAAAAAAAGACATAAAATATGAGCACATTAAAAAAAGTCAGAATCAGTATAAATCACTTTGTCCAATTGCTATATAGAATTTTCTAAGTGTTTACTCTCAGTTTCTGTACTTACTGTGGACCAGACACAAACTGGTGAAGGCAGACCATCTCTTGATAGCATAAGCTAAATAATGGAGGTTTTACCTAATTCATCAATTTCCATGGAATCATTTTTTTTTTTTTTAAAACCGTGTTAGTCCAACTTCTTTTGTTTCCTCATGACCATTCAGAAAACACTGCTTGGAAGCACTCGAAAGTGCAGTGCCCTGCAGAAGTCAGGCATGAAAGTTCGTGTGACTTAGCTTCATCAGTGTTCAAGCTATAGTTTACTTCCGTGTTCATTACTTCATCCATCGAAAACCAGTGGAAAGCAAGTGAGTGGCTGTTCTCTGGGTGTATGGAAAATGCCCAGCCCTCCCTGCCTTGTGGTAGTATCATGGATTTGAATATTTTCCCAACTGCTTAGAGTGAAATTTCAGTATCCCAGGTCATAACAGTCAGATGTAATTTTGTCTTATTCTGTTTCTTTGTGAGGTTAAAAATATGAATTGGGAGCTGCTTTTTAAAGTTCGGTTTGGAGCAGTCTTTGGGGTGATTATATGACATTTTATGCTCTAAGGTAGTGGTGATTTCTTACTAGAACATGTAAATATTTAAATCTTAGTGAGAATTGGCAGGAACTATTCAAGGAAGTATACAAAACAATTCAAAAAAGAAGTCTGAGTTGATTTTTTTGTTTTAAAGTTGTGTTCAAATAATAGTTATGGTGAGATGATATGTAACATGTTTATGCGTTTGTGAAAAGGAATTAGAATTTAGAGGAACACTGTCTTAGCTTATATATATGTTTGGTTTTATATTTCTTAAATTCTTTAGTCACATAAAAAAGGTGAAATTAGAGACTGTCTCCGAGACGCTTCCTGTCCGTAACATAGAATCAGCATGATTCTTCAGAGACTCTTCAGGTTCTCCTCTGTCATTCAGTCAGCAGTCTCGGTCCATTTGCGGAGGAACATTGGTGTTACAGCAGTGGCATTTAATAAGGAACTTGATCCTATACAGAAACTCTTTGTGGACAAGATAAGAGAATACAAATCTAAGCGACAGGCAGCTGGAGGACCTGTTGATACTGGTCCAGAGTATCAGCAAGATCTAGAGAGGGAGGTTTCTAAGCTCAAGCAAATGTCAGGTAAAGGAGACATGAATACCTTCCCCACCTTCAAATTTGAAGATCCCAAATTTGAAGTCTTTGATAAACCCCCGGCCTGAAGAAGTAAAGTAAAATTAATCTGGTAATTTGTCATGGGTTAGTTATACAACTAGTTAGAAGTTTCAGAATAAACATACATTTCATGACTGTCAAAAAAAAAAAAAAGGTGAAATTAATGATATACTTTAACCCAATCTGTTCACATTACATTCAAAATATAATGGATATTAAATTATTAATGAAGAACTGTTAAGTTCTTTTTGTTAGTCTTTGAAATCTATGTCCCCAAAGTTTTTTCAGGCTGATATACTTTTGTTAAAATTCAACAAAAATTAAATATTTTAAAAAACATAAAATACAAGCATATTTTAAAAAATTAGATTTGGCCAGGAGTGGTGGCTCATACCTGTAATCCCAGCACTTTAGGAGGCCTTGGCGGGCAGATCACCTGAGGTCAGGAGTTCGACATTATCCTGGCTAACATGGCAAAACCCCGTCTCTACTGAAAATACCAAAATTAGCCAGGTATAGCAGCAGACGCCTGTAATACCAGCTACTTGGGAGATTGAGGCAGGAGAACTGCTTAAACCCAGGAGGTGGAGGTTGCAGTGAGGTGAGATTGTACCATTGCACTCCAGCCAGGGTGAAAGAGCAAGACTCCATCTCAAAAGAAGTAAAAAAATAAATTAGACTTAATCAATGTAAATTATCTTGTCCAATTACTACAGAAATTTCCAAAGTTTCTAAATGTTTGCTGTGAATTGCACATCTCTCATTGCATGTCTCCATTTGGTCTAGTGCCATTTCAAGTGCTCAGTAGCCACATGTGGCTAATGACCATCACATTGGGCAGTACAGAACTAGAGAATCAAAGCCCACTGTAAGGCAGATGATTTATGTAATTACCTGAGTACTTTTATATTTACATTATTTTTTGATTTTGTCTAAAATAATTTTGAGATGATTTCATGATTACTTTGAGGGGATAGCAGTGGACCCTCAGGGGTTGCTCCCTCCCCAGTGGCCTCTGCCAGCTGCGTAGGTCGCTTTTTAGCAGGCGAGTCATATGGAGTGGCTGTCTTTCTCATCCCAGGGGCAGGGAGGGAGCACGAGAATTGCTTGTATTTGCCCCATAAGGACAGAGACCCACAGAGAGACATGAATAAGACATTGCTATGTTTTTTTTTTG